CCAATTATAAAATGTTTTTCTTTTTCAATTATTATAAGTGTTGGCATGCGCAGGATTGAACCCGGTTTCCAAAGAGGGAAAAAAAAAAAAAAAAAAAGGAATGGCATGTCACTGCAGTGCAAGGTATCGGCTATACATAGATAGTTGATGTGATTTGGACTGTTTATGGATGAAATTGAGACAGCTATATCTTAGAGGGAGAGTAATATTAAAATCTCACGTAAAAAAATTAATTATTATAAAATTTATTAACAACTGAATATCAATACAATTTAATTTAGTTATCAATAAATTTTATAGTAATTAATTTTTTTATGTGAGACCTAAATGTAATTCTCTCTATCTTATATCTTGTCCCGAAAAATAAATGAGACTAAATTTTTATCTCAAAAATTGGAACATACACAACCACAAATGACGCTCTAGTTATAAGTACAATAACAACTAATCATTGAGTTAAACAATTTAAGTGAGCATATGGTTATATATATAAAAAGAACAAATTAATAAAAAAATACTTTCTTCTTCTCAAATTATAAAATATTTTTGAAAAATTTTCTCCATTTCAAAATATAAAACACTTTGAATAGATTAATGTTTCATTAAATATACCAATTTTAATATTATTCTTTCTCTCTTTATAATTAATTTTCATCTCTTTTTTCAATGTATTAAATGATGTGTATTTTAAAAAGTTTATATTTTTTATTTTAAAAAAATAAAATTATTAAATATATTTAATGAGGTTTATTAATATATAAAATTTTATTTAAAAATATTTTATAATTTAGGATGAAAGGTGTGTACTCTTTTTAACACTATCTGACTGAATAAATAATTAAATATTCATATAAGGTGATAAAAAAAACATAAATTATAATACATTCAAGACAGGACTTTGTTATAATGATCACAATATTGTCTTGTCTTGAATATGTTTTTATCCTTTCCCGCGAAGCCTAGTCCCTATTTTTGTCAGACCAGGATTGATAAACCCATCCCAACCCGATTAGGATGGAACATGTCACGACAACAATAGACATGAACACCCAACATGTGATGCAATTCTAGATGAGAATAAATAATATATTCTAAATGGAAAATTATAATTCATAATTTTGTAATTAAATAAAAAATATAATCATTATAGTTTTATTAAATTTTATTTTCAATTTTTATAATTTTTTTATATTTTCAGTCTCTTTAAATTTAAGAAAATTGGATGATGTTTATTTTTTTAGAGCACTGTAGTTTCAGTTTTTCAATATTTTTAATTTCTATAAAAATTGAAAATATTAAAAAAACTATAAAAATTAAAGAAAAAATGATAATAAAATTCTTTTGAATTATATAAATAACATTTTAGTCTTTAAAAAAATGTCATAATTACCCTGAAGTCCTTAAAGACTTTTCTGTCATTAAAAAATTAATACAAATGACCAAATTTCCCTTATTTCAAGAATTAAAATGCGAACTTATGAATTGTTGTTGCATTCATGCAATTTTAAGAAGAAAAGTTATGAATCTTAAACAAAATTAGTGAATGGTAATTGATATTTACAATACTTGAAGAATATCAAGATTTCAAATACGAACTTATGAATTGCTATTGAATTCTTGCGATTTTAAGAATAAAAGTTGTGAATATTAAAACAAAACTTGTGAATGACAATTGATATTTGCAACATTTAAAGATCATGATTTTAAATGTGAACTTGCAAATTGCTATTGAATTCTTATGATTTTATAAAAAAAATTGTAAATCTTCAAATAAAATTTGTGAATGACAATTAATATTTGAACTAACGGTAATTTAATCATTTATACTAATTTTTTAAAGAAAGAAAAGTTTCTATAAACTTCATTGATATTATGATATTTTAATATATTAAATTATTATTTATATAATTTGAAGAGATTTTATTATTATTATTTTAAAAGTAAAAGCAAATTTTAATAAAATTATAGAAATAAAAAATTATATTTTCCTTTCAGTAAGTTAAAAGGTAAGCTGTCTTTGGGATTCCTGTGTGCAGCGGTGTTCTGTGGGTAAGCATAAGACACGCAATTAAGGAAGAAGATAATATACATTAAGGAGAGCAACATTACTTAAAACAAAAAACAAGGGGCCCAATAGTCATTTTACTATCAAGTTATATATCATTATATATAGTTGGAAGCTGCAATAATTCATTTGACGGCAGGATATGCAGTGGCCATAAACACCAATAATATTATTGTGGGCCACTCTTTTTTTTCTTTATAAATTATTTTATATGTAATAATTCATCAACAAACAAGAAGAGGATTCATAATCCCATCACTATTTTTTTAAAGACAGATGTTTAAGCTATATATAGTCTTTTATATAGAAAAATTTAATAAATTTTACTCTATAATTTGGTCTTTTTTGTAAAGAAAAACTTGCAGTTTTGTGAAAACAGAAGGACCTTGTTATACTTCTTAGTATTATATTTTCTCTTGGATTAAAGGGCAATTGGACCTCAAACTCCATGTCCAAAAGTATTTAAGACCCTACACTTGTTTTTGATATAATATTCTATTCAATTTTTAAAAATAATATAATGCTGCTTTTATTGTTAATAAAAATTAATTTTGATAATTAATTGACTATAAAATAATAGAAAATATCAAAAAGATTTTCTTAGACTTTTTTGTAATTCTTTTATCCTTGTTTATAATTTGTAGTTCTTTTTTCTGTAAATTTCCCAATTATTTTTTAAAATTTTTAGGTTTATTTTTTTGTCAATTTCTGGTAAACCTAATTGTTAAAGTTCATTTTTGTTAACAATGGGGATAACATTACACTGTTTTTAAAAATTAAAAAATAATATTGTACTAAAAACTAGTTTAAGTTCCTAGAGGCTTCTAGACCTATAGTTTATGGGTCAAATTTCTATTTAATACTTTTAGCTTTAAAACATGCATGTATCCTAATATCCTACATTGGCGATTAACAAAACTCAGAATTACAAATGGAAGCTGGATCTAGTAAAAACAAATAGCTTCTTATAATATAGTAAATTAATAATTAAGTTCTAAATTTTTGTTAAAAAATACCTATATTTCATACTCGACTATACTTTAATCAATGAGGATACCTCCAAGAAGGATAACACTTATATGTAATAAAAAATGTAATTTGATTTCCATTATACCCACATGTCATGTATAAATTAAAAAGTTAAAAAGCCAATTTCATTTTTTCTTTTACAAAACATATTGGTACACACACAAATATGATCCTTCAAAATTATAATTTAAGTCATTTTTAAAAGGTTTATTTGAGTCAAAATATATGATATTGTGTAGGTGTTTTATATATATATATATATATATATTTAATTATACATTTATTTTATTGAATAATTAATGAGAATATTTTAAATAAGTTAAATGTTATATTTATCATAACAAATGTCACAATTAAAAAGATATTAAATTTTTTTAAAAGATCAAGATTTTAACTAACATTTTTTAAAAATATAAATTAAATAATAATAATTTATATTGTGATTTGAAAAAGATGTACAGTTTGTATATATACATACATATAATTCATATATAGTCTAAGTCACAGTTTGGTACGGCGTTGACTCACCTAGACTCCTAATAAAATATTATTCTTAATCAATAAGATTGTAATCACTGTGTTGTTAAAAAAAAATTCTTAATAAACTTTTTGTCTTGTCTTGACGAGATGCTTTAATTTCATGTTTTCAAAGAATTTAAATTCCATTCAAATATCTAAAGTTTCATATGGATGTATGCATTTTTTTTAATTAACCTTAGGAAAATTGTAAATCTCTGAACCTTAAAAATCCCATCTTTTCTGGCCCAAAAAAAAATCCCATCTTTGTTTGTGTGTATATACATCACTGAAACAATTCTGAGATTTTTTTTCCCCTCTGAGTGATTGTGATAATCACCCACAGGATGAGAGACATAGAAATATGGCTAAAAAGTAAACCCTAAATTTTGAAGGAAAAATAAAGTAGAAAAGAGACTAATGTGAAATCATTCATCTTTGTCGGCAACTCGGGCCTTTGATACAGACTACCCTGCAGCTCTCTATCTCCAACTTGCTCTCTCTCTCTCTCTCTCAAAGTAAAAGTCCATCGTCCACCCACTGCCAACGAGAGATTCAATTAATTAATTACTCTAATTCCCATCATCATTATTAATTAATACCAATTCATTTTTCTTTATACTTTATAATTACTATGGCTAAAATCTTTATGTACTCAGTTCATTCTTAAGATAAATCTTTATGCATTCCCTCCATCTTAATTTATAAGATAATTTTAAGTAAAATTATGCATGTTAAAAAATTAAATATACTTCACAATTTTTTCTCTAAACAGAAATATAATTTTTTAAAAGATACCCTTCAATTAATAACATTGGAGAGAGATAATAAATAATGAAGGAAAGATAATTTTGAAAAAATATATAATTTTATTTTTGTTAAATTATTTATATTTTAGGACATTAAATCACCTATAAAAATTTTTTATAACGTGAGTTGAAAGGAGTACGAGTTTATATCCTTAAAATTTATAAATAAATACTTGAGTTTTCAATTTTAATCTTCACTAAAATTAATGACCGTGTATAGGAATTACAACTTCTTGTAATTAAGGAGGGGCAATATTGAAAAAGAAATTAACTACAGCATTTTTTATATATTTAAAACCAAATAAGATTTAAAATTATAATTAGGACCAGGTGAAATATATATATATATATATATATAACTATAGGGATATACCAGTTTATATTTATAATTAGAAACAAAATCTGAAATCTCACGTTGATATTGAATTTTTGGAATAAAAGAAATTAAAAAAAACTAAAAGGAATTAATATTAATTAAAACTTTTGTGATAGGCACAAGCACTAGCAACACCACCACCAAAATACCATTATCATCGAAAGGTCCTTCCATTCCAACCCCATTTTCTTTAATTTTCCACACACCATCTTCACATTTAATAACTCTACACACAATCTCTCTCACACACACACGCGCATGCTTACTTCAATATCTCTGAAGAACTGTATATATATTCATAACTCTCTTCATCAGTTATTCAAATCATCAAAAGTAGTGAAGATTTACATTCATGATGTGGCGTGTTCTAGAGAACGTGAAGAAGAGGTCTAGGGTTGCAGATGAGAGCATGGTGGTGGCTGCAGAAGAAGAAGAAGGAAGAGGAAGAGGAAGAAGAAGAAGAGGAAGGCATGGTGGTGGGTTTTCAGTGATACTATATTGTATTCTTCAAGTTCCAATATCAATTCTGTCTTGTGTTTCAAGTCCTCGTGTTAATGGTTCTGCTGCTTCTGATGGAGTCTGGGTCTCCTCTGGGGATCATTTTGCTCATATCTCTGAGATCAATCATCTCATGGTTAGTGATAGTATGAGATATGCAATTTTGATGTAAATTCAAACTACAAACTAATAAATATATTATCTCTACTTGTTACTTAGCTTGTTATCCTATGAATTTTTATTTCAATCTTGTTGAAAACGTACATATTCATGCAATGGTTGGTATAAAGAGATGTGTTTTTATAGAAATGAAATGAAAAATGCGCTGTTATTATGTTTTTTTTTTAGGTGCGTTTCTACACTTTTCTATATACTCAAGAAAATTTAAGAACTTGCTAACATAATTGGAGTATAAAATTAGAGCTTTGCTTATTGAATTTGTTTTCTAATTGTTTTTATCTTGTCCTCAATTAAATTTTTTTCTTTATATAGTTTTTGTTGGATATCATAGTTTGGATTTATATGTATTTGTGTAAAAGAATTTTCTATATTTGCTGATAATGTGTTAATAATTAATGAAGTTTCATCTTCTTCTCTACTCAATTTCCTTTTTGAATTTTGAATTTTCTAGCTAACTGCCTCCACCGCAAAGAAAGTTCAATGTTTTCATTAAGATTAATGAAAATATTCGAGTTTGATCACTTAGCTTGTTAAATACTGAATGAACAATATGTAAAATTTCTTGTGATATGTTTACTATTATAATTCATTTAATCCTTCTCATTAGTTAATCACATAAAAATTTACCACAAAAAGTTATTGTTTTAAATTAATATTAATAGCTCAACATAATATTATTATTTTATATATATTGTATTGTTTATATATTTTATCACCAAATAGTCCATTGCTCTCATATTAATAATTCATGGCGGGAATTTCTTTTTGGCAAGAAATTAAAGAAAAAACAGCAAATATAAGAGAATATTCTCCCCCCTTTTTTTCTTATTCATACCCCCCCGTTTTTTATTATAAAAGAAATTGCCACACACATGCTTCCTATTTTTTATTTTATAAACAAAATTATAAAATTCAAGAAACATTTGTCATATTTATTTGATTTTCTTTTCATAAATTAAAGTATATTTTTATGAGATAAATTTGTTTCATTTATTATAAGGATAATTTAGTCCATTTTTTAATTTTAAACAAAATTGTTATACTTAATTTATTCATTTAAAATTGTATGAGTTACTTTACCTTTCATTTCAAAATGGACGGGGTATCTTCTGAGTTGCTGGCGTATTCATGAGCTAATATTTAATTAATTGATAAATTCCATATATATATATATATATATATATATATATATACACATAAGGCACACCTGTTTTGCACTAGAATCATTAGTGTTTTCAATTTGTTTTTTAATTGGATACAATGAATCATGGGCAAGTTGTGAAGTGCCTCAAAGATCTTCCCAAAGGAAAAAGAGAAAAGGAAAAAAAATAGAGAAAAGAATGCTATGAAAAGTAATTAATAAAAATAATAAAGCAATTATATAAAAAATAAAATTAATTGAGAAACATATTTATACTAAAATTGAATGATTAAGAAGAGAGGGTAGGTTTAAGATTGTACTGTCAGTTTATTTGCTTTCTTTTATTTTTTATAGATTATATGTTTAGGATGTTTTACTGCTTTTCGAATTAGTGAGTGTAATATTTTTGATAATCAATAAAATTAACATTTTTGGCCAAAAAAAAAAGAAGAGAGGGTTGGTGGAAGTGGAATTAATAACCAGGGATTCTTATTACTTTTTCCTGATTTATTAACATCTAATCTAAGGGCGACATGTGTATTAGTATTATTAAATAAAAGCATCCTCTACAGTAAATTTTATTTACTATTCATTATCTATTTTCTGGATGTTTCTTCATCTTATGATTTAACGTGATGACTTTGTGCGCGTTAATCAATTATGGATACGAGGAATTTAACCTCATAATTCCCATTTCATTCGTACAAACATATTTTTCAAGTATGATATGATTAAATGCCACTACTTATTTATTCTTTTCTTTATATATCCCTCAACCACAATTATTAATTATTATTATTTACCTCCTTACTTATAAATATATACTTAAATTAATAAACTGTTAGATTTACAGGGGAATTTAATTAGCTAGGTTTAATTCATCCTGTCCCGCTGTCGCTGATGGTTAAAAAGAAGATCATATTACTTAATTTATAATATACACATCCAAATTTGGAAAATTAAAAAAAAAAGTAAAATGGAGGGTAAATTAACAATATTCCCAGTATATTCTATTTGATTGTTAAGTGTCAATTTCAAAAATGACCAAAATGTCATTTTCATTATACATCAGTCTAGATTCTTCCCAGATTTATATCTGAAGCTTCCCTATAATGGTAGGAACCAGTCAGTCTTCAAAATCAATTGCCTTGTTGAGTACTCGTCTAATAATTTCGGTCTAAATTAATTACCTTATTAATTATCTGTTTGATTATTAAAAAGGGATGAAATAAATGAATTAAAAAAATTAAAATTAAAATAAATTAAATCATCCTTTTTTCATAGCAAGTATGGTAAAATTTATTAGGAAAAATATAATTTTAGGTTCCAATACTTTGCTATAGGTTTTTATACTTTTTTTTAATATTTTAAGTTTTTACATTTTTATTTTTTGATATTTTAGGTCCTTCCAAGATCCTAGAACACTGAAAAACAAAAAACTTCCTTATAACAAAATGTGAACAAAGTTTTGGGTCCAAAGTTATATTTTCCCAATTTATTAATATATAGTATAAATGTGAGAATCGTCACACACCTTCAAAAATCTTATGAGTCATGATGTCCAACCTTATGAACTAAATTACATCTTCACTTTATGAATGTGCTCATTTATTTTCTTTTATCATCTTATTTTTATTTTATTTTCTGTTATATTTATTTCTAGTAAGCAAATGGAACCTTAATCATTCTTTAAGAAAATAATTACCTTCATCATTATCGTCTGACACACTTGCGCGCGAATATGTGTATAAGAATAATTTCTAGGATGTATTATAGCCAGCTGATCAAGTACTAATTAGTTTGTTATATGGATGATTAAAGTGGTTTAGTTAATAGTTAGTTACCTCTTGGCCTGGTTTTTACTGTCAGTAAAAACCCTCTTGAGGGTACCCTTGAGATAATCTATTATAGTGCTTTTAAGGTAAAGAATGGTGAACCTGCCAAAGGCATTATGTTTAGAGATTGGCCAGGGAATTTTAAATGAGCTTTTGTGGATAACGTCAAATCTATATATTCTTTCATGATCGAAACACTTGCTCTTTAAGGGCGATGATATTAGCCACAGATCTTGGTAATGATGATGTGATTTTTGAGTTCGATTCATTGCTTCTCATTAATTGTGTTGAAACAAGAGCTGTCCTGATCAGTATGACTTGAGATGTCGTGAGATCATTTTGGAAATCCTCAATCTTGTGGTTTCAAATATTACTGATCTCCTTGCATTTGATACCCTTAAAGGAATGCGTGCCTAGTTGCGTTGGCGGAATCACGTTCACTCTCTTCATCCTCTCTTATGATCTCAGAAGCCATGGGAACTCTGGTTTTTTCTGCTGATGTTGCATCTCCTCCATGCAGATTGGGCATTGGTTAATTTGCTTTTCATCTTTGTTGCTGCCTTCATTTTATAATTTTTCCTTTACTTTGTGTTTTCGTCTTTCTTTTTATTTTTGTTACGTTGGAACTTTTTGTATAATGAATGTGTAATTGTCTGCAACCCATTAAAATTAGTATGAATGATAGAAACTTTCATCATTTAAATAGGTGATTAAAAGTTCGAATATCAATATTTGTATGTATTTTAATTTAATCAGGAAAATTCTACTTATTATTTCAAGTACCTTAGAAAATATATTCTCTACATTCACTGAAGCCTAGTGGTGCTTGAAAAACAAATAATTGTTTGAGATTCTATGTAACTGGCCAAAATAATTATATCTTAGTTTAGAAATTTGACATTTTTATGATTTGTGATTTATACATAATTTTATTCATTAAATAGATCTAATTAATTTTTTTCATTATTTACTTAGATTTTTTATAATAATATACAAAGCTAATTCAAGTGAATCAAATTTATTTAAGCTGAAATCAATTTGAATTAGGTTTAAAATACACAAGCTTATAAAAAACAAGCAAAGCACAGCCCTCGACCTTTTGGGTTGGTTGAATACCTAAAACTTTTTAAATTTCTTTCTTTTTTAAGCTATTTCAATTTTTAAATTTTTTTTAACTGAATATTTCAATTTTTAACTTTGAAATTAAAATTTATCAAACAATATAATCCACAGACACAACAACATATTACAAAATGAACATAAATCATAAAAATTACATCAACATTAACAACAAAGTTTGGAAGGTTAATGGGAAGATGATAGAAAAATCATCTTAAAATATGCAAATGTTATAATTAAGGACCTTTTAAACATTAATTATTTTTTGTAAAATTACTAAAATATCCTCAATTTAAAATAAAAAAGTACAAAAATGTTGTAATTGTTTGTTTCGTTTTGATCATTACTAGTTACTTTTTTTATTTAAATTAAAAGATATTTTAATTATTTTACCAAAAAATCATTAATGCTAAAAAGATCCTTTAAAACTTGAAAAGAATTATAACATTTCGTGAAATTTTATTATTATTTACATATTTTAGGAGAATTTTTCAAATCAATTTAACAACAAAGTTACAAATATAGTTTGTACAAGAAAAAAAGTTACAAATATAGTAATCCACAATGAAAAACCTTTAAGGGGAGAACTGCATTTAAAGATCACTCAATGAAATTATTTATAGACAATGACTAACAGCAAATTTCATTCAAGATAAAAAATCACGTTTTATTTTAACAACAATCCATCTTGTATTAGTTTTTGTCTGTAAATAATTTTTTTTAAATGGTCTTTAGATATGATTCTCTATCATTAAGGGAGAATTCCAACTAAGGATTAGGGGAGAGAAATATTTATTGGTGGAGTCTAAAAAATATTTAAAAATTCTCTACAAGATTTTTATACTAAACTGAAATAATATGAGTGGCTAAAAAGATTAAAATGCCCTTCTGTATAATTAAAAAAATACTTAGTTACTACCTAACTTTGCTTGTTAATTGCTTA